TTGTTTGACAATGCCCTCAACTCCCTTCAGGCTTCTGTGCGCGTAGTGCGAGTTGCTTAACGTTCTCGATAGCGTAAAAGTTAACTAAAAGTACGAGTATGCAGTTGAAACAGCGCCCCTAGCGGCAAACGTGGGCAAACGTTCCAACTCCATACAAATTTGAGTTAACTTTTACGCTATCGAGAACGTTAAAAAACTCGCACTAAGCACACAAAGTCTGATGATACCTTACGACTGTACAACTCATCAGTCTTTTTTGACGTACGTCCTTTTTGACCCAAAATTCTGATAAAGATGTCGTAATTGAATCAAAGCATTAATTGTATCAATTATAACTTATTTATGACAATCAAACGTCCATTAGCAATCGCACGAGCGCCACATTCGCTAAATGCTTAAAAATCTATATATTAATACGTGAAGCAAAAACTTTGTATCCCTTTTTACGAAAATTGCGCGGACGGAGGAGTATGAAATTTTCCACACTTATAGAGAATATAGAGAAGAAGTGCACAATGCTAATATTTTTTTAAAATAATGCATAAAAGATAGATTAAATCAATAAAGAAAACATTACACACACTACATACCATGTATTTGACGCACACACGCATGCATACTATTTATTGTGAAACTTTTGTTATTGACGTCTGTGGTCAAATTGAGAATAGATTAAATATTGTTTGCCTTTATTAATATTTTTTTATAGAGTAGCCTTGGTGAAATTTGTGATTAATTATAGAAGTATAAAATACAATCATAATAGTGTACAAACTTACAATTCCAATTAATTATAGTCGAATTTCGACTACTGCGGGACCTCTGGTCTATATATAAATACGTGAAGCAAAAACTTTGTATCCCTTTTTACGAAAATTGCGCGGACGGAGGAGTATGAAATTTTCCACACTTATAGAAAATACAGAGAAGAAGTGCACAATGCTAATATTTTTTTAAAATAATGCATAAAAGATAGATTAAATCAATAAAGAAAACATTACACACACTACATACCATGTATTTGACGGACACACGCATGCATACTATTTATTGTCAAACTTTTGTTCTTGACGTCTGTTGTCAAATTGAGAATAGATTAAATATTGTTTGTCCTTATTAATATTTTTTTATAGAGTAGTCTTGGTGAAATTTGTGATTAATTATAGAAGTATAAAATACAATCATAATAGTGTACAAACTTACAATTCCAATTAATTATAGTCGAATTTCGACTACTGCGGGACCTCTGGTCTATATATTAATACGTGAAGCAAAAACTTTGTATCCCTTTTTACCAAAATTGCGCGGACGGAGGAGTATGAAATTTTCCACACTTATAGAGAATACAGAGAAGAAGTGCACAATGCTAATATTTTTTTAAAATAATGCATAAAAGATAGATTAAATCAATAAAGAAAACATTACACACACTACATACCATGTATTTGACGCACACACGCATGCATACTATTTATTGTCAAACTTTTGTTATTGACGTCTGTGGTCAAATTGAGAATAGATTAAATATTGTTTGCCTTTATTAATATTTTTTATAAAGTAGTCTTGGCGAAATTTGTGATTATAGAAGTATAAAATACAATCATAATAGTGTACAAACTTACAATTCCAATTAATTATAGTCGAATTTCGACAACTGCGGGACCTCTAGTAAAAGTAAAATCACAATGTAAGAAACCATTTATCAAGCGAAATTCTCATAAAAATTAATCGCTCGAGAAATTTTCTATCCGGTATAACATCTTGAGAATGACAAATCGTCGTTCATATTTCACTGGCTGAAAGAGCCGACGCCAAATTAGTCGAGTTGAGAGCAATTTTATGCTGTAGCGTCGATAATACGCGACCCTCGTCACCCTGAAATGTCGGAATACCGAATAACTATAAGTACTTAACCATGTATAATATCTGTCAACCCATGCTTAGTGAGTTTAATAGTTTCGAAAAAACTGACTGACTCGTAGTGTACCAGGAAGGCTACAAGATCCCTTGGATGGCTTTTCTTCTTCTTCTTCTTCCAGTGCCTCTTCAATCCTGAAGGTTGGCCGTTAGCTTCCTGTATTCATCTGTATCAGCAGCCAGCCGGAACAGCTGTTCGACGGAGTCAATACCGGCCCACTCCCGGATTTCCAGAGCCATGACTTCTTCCTTCGCCCAGCACGTCTCTTTCCGTCCACTTTGCCCATCATTATCAACTGCAACAGCGTGTATCTATCGTTCCTGAGCACGTGGCCGAGGTATTCTATCTTGCGCTTTTTGATAGAAGGCAACATTTTCCGGGACATATGAACGCGCTGAAGCACGGTTTTGTTCCTGACCCTCTGTGTCCAATTAATTCGTTACAGGCGACGGTAGCACCACATCTCGAATGATGATGATGAATGGCTTTTAGCAGACACTAACTCCCTGGACTTCAATAATGCCAAGGGCATAGCCCAGCCGCTGCCTACCGTTAATACGTACCATACGTAGACGTACTATAGTGTCATAAATACTATATAAAATAACATAAATAAAATGTCCTGTACAAGGGCAATCGGGAACATTTTATCCTTTATAATCAAAATTAACCGTAATATAAATATTAATTAATACAATATCAACGAAGTCTGTTTGCCGCGCAAGACATCTTCATTTAAAATAAGAAAGTTCTAGAGTTTTAGAAAGAAAAAGTTTAGAGACACGTTTATTATTTGCTATTAGAGAATCAATCTTTCAAAAAATTGCACAAGACAGATACAACAATATGACACCAGCCGGCGCTGTAAATTATCGTGGCAACCTCAATTCGGTAGACTCTGATACCAGATACGATCTCTCTTTAACAACTTCGTCTTACTTCGGCCCGAGATAATGTCATTACTAGACAATGTAATAATGCCGTACACACCTATTTTCGTATTAATTAACCACTGTCCAACGAAGCGCATTCAGATAATTTGCTGCCGAAAATGTGTGTAGGTACATTGCTAAAACCCGGTGATTAGATTATCTTTGGTTTTCCCAAACATTGAACGACTGTGCGAAATTTTAAATCATTTCAAACGTTTTTAATTTGAATATTCATTAAGTGGACCAGGCTGTCATAAGATATTCCTTTTTTGCCTCTTGGGAAGAACCGAAAATTTTACCATTTTGTCTTAGGTAAAAAAATTTGATCTTCAAATTAATTATAAAACTTTTGAATATTTTATACCTATGTGTTCTATTTTTTCATAAAATGGTGGCAAAAAAGCCATTGATGATTAAAATATCGATTGAATCACAATAATAATAATAATTACTGGGAACAAATCACGTAAGGTCATCCGGCCCTAAATAAGCCTTCCCTGTGTTATGGGTACCAAATACAGGGTAAATATACATATTTATATGCGTCTAAATGTCTAATTTGTCATATATTTAATGATTATATATTATAGATGATAAAATATATATATGCGACGACTACGGTTACCAGGGTCCCTACTCCTAGTGTTAGAGCAGAAAGCGTCTAATGCAAGGGTTATTGGATCTGACGGACCCGTAAGGACGTGTGAGAAGAATCTATGTAACAACGCACTTATATGTTTGACGTTTGTCGTAAAATCACACTATATTCCTTAAACAGTGCCCTTAGCAAAATAACCTGCCGAAACCCATATGACAAAAGTACCATTAACGAAACAAGTTTTCTAAAATTCCTGGGCGCAATCCTTTTAGATTGGGAATCGAACTAGCTTTAACAAAAACAGCCGGTACGATTACTCGCGAAATTAGATATCGTTTTTGCGTGTCCAAGACATTAGGGAGTGACCGAATGACTGACTGAGTCACCGCTTTTTGTGCAAAAAGGTTTCGGGGTCTGATTAAAGAGTAAATGGACTTATGAAGCTCTACATCAGGCCTCTATGATATATTTTAATAGATATGGGACTATATGTTACGGCCACTGTCCAATGGAGCTGCTTTTCATTTAATTTGATTTGCATTTCATTCCCGCCTGCTTTACATTTCATTTCATTTTCCAGTGAAATACGTACTTAACAAATCTTCACGATTGACTTCCACTTTGAAGGTTACAAATATTATGTGAAGTTGCAAATAACCTTTTATTAGCTCTGTTTGTATACTTTTGATTTAAAAAAATCTCAATTGGTTAAATTAATAATCATATCACCAAAGGAATAGTCATGTCTTCTCTGAACAAATTAAAGGAGTATCCCCACAATAAAGAATGTGTTCATGGATACATGATTCAAAGATACAAGATTCAAATGAACACTTTAGGTCTAAAATATAAAACAAGATCCATAATATGCATGAGAGAATCTAGAGTTAGAGCATGAACAAAAACAATGTTTATCTCTTAATAATCTACCACTTGCTGATGGGCACTAGCCTTGTGACGAAAAAAAAAGAATACTTTTCACCATTTTTTCTTTTTTTCCCTACCTAATCGTTAGTAGTGTAAGGGTCTATTCCAACTTCGCCTGGACTGGTAGGTGAGCTCACGGGCTCAACCTGAGAGGATTGCTGACCATAACCCTAGCAATAGCAGTGCTGAATCTACTACCGGATCGAAATCGCGTCACACTGAGAAGATATGGCGGAAAAATCAGTGGGTTGTATCTTTAAGCGATCCCAAAACAAATATCAGATACTAGTTGACCCGGCAGACTTCGTAGTGCCTCAATCGAGAAATAAAAGACCTAAACTTTTGTATAAAATAAACTTAAAACAAACAAAAGGAATCCGTCCGACGGGGGACACATCAAAGGGAAAACAATTTTGTTATTTTTATTTAATTCCGAGCATTTTCATATTTATCTACCTTTTAAGCCCTGTCTGGACTTCCATAAATAATTCAAAACCAAAATTAGCCAAATCGGTGCAGCCGTTCTCGAGTTTTAGCGAGACTAACGAACAGCAATTCATTTTTATATATATAGAAGATTTAAGGAACACAGGGATGCGTATTAAATTAACCTCTATTGTTACAGTGGCTTGCTCGACCGTTACCGTGACAAAGTGCCAAGCGGCCCTTAGAACCTTGCAAGCATTCCCGTTCTTCAAGCCGACCTGTCTCTGCCGGGAACCGAACGTCGATCCGGAATGTAATTCTTTCAGGGACTTTTTGTTCGATCACCCTTGCGTGTTCGTTATGAAGAAAGGTAAGGCTTTTAAATTTATACTTTATTTAATATTATAAAGTTGTAGAGTTTGTTTGTTTGAACGCGCTAATCTCAGGAACTACTGGTCCAATTTGAAAAATTCTTTCAATGTTAGATAGCCAATTTTTTTGAGAAAGGCTATAGGCTATATAACTTATCTTTTCGTGTTTTTATAGTCGTGTTATTTTTATTCGAATGAACATTGATATTGCGTAGTTTTTAACTACCCACAACTACAAAGCTTGCATTGTGTTAGAAATTATTTATTAAGACTAGTCTTGATTCTTAAAATTTTATTTGTATGTTATTTTTGGCGTGATAACATCATAAAAATCTATGAAAACCGGATGCACGCACGTAAAAGTGTCACGTTCCGTCTAAGCGTGCAAGGGAGACCGCGGAACAAGCGACAGAGAGGCATGATCGGCTCAAGCGTTGACTTGTGACACATTTATCTCTCTTCTCGCGTACCGTCAGATCTAGCAGTTCGAATACTTCTGCTACTGACGTTATAACGTAAAACTATCGTCCGTAAACCGACTTTAGAGACAACCAACTGTTTTAAATTCAAAACGTGTTTTTGACAAAATCGTAGGAACCGGTATGTATGTAAGAAATAAATTAAATAATATAAATAAAAAGTCTGAAGTCTATAAATATAATATATAATACACAATCGACCGAGAGGTGCCAATCAAAATGTACCAATCCAATCCGACTTAACGTGTGATATTACCGATCTTTTGTCCTAGAATAGAATAGAAAACGGTTTACCGAAACACTACAGATTATTATATGTGTTTATTGAGAATTATTTTCAGATAATCTTGAATATGTCTATTTCTATATCAATAGCTATAACGCTGAGGTTGATTTAGATCTCGTGTGGGAATAGTTATTCTACTCTGTAATGTTTCATTCTTACTAATTGCAATACCGGTTTGATTATGACAGGACACATTTCTTGTCCCGATGAAGATTGGAGATATCTTTGTTAAGTGAAAATAAAATAATTATTCAGTTTTATTTATTTTATATTTATTATCAATTTTATTTTTAATATCCGTGGTTTGAGGAAATATTATGGATTATCGAAGGAAAGGATTATAGGATATGAAAAGAAAGAATTATTTATTTTAAATACGGTTTTTTTACCTTTTTAATAAATGAAATTTACCTTAAGTAATTTTTTTTTTTAAATTTACTGCTATTACTTCTCTATCTGTCCCTATTGTCTTAAACCCGCCTGATTTTCCTGGTAATTCGATATCTTAAGCATGTATAGTGGAAGTATGTATCTTAAGTATGTCTGAATAGTGGTATCGTAGATTGCAAGCCCTTACGAGTATCCCTGGCTATAGCTACCCTGAACTAATCACGCGTTTCGATTAGAAGGATAAGACAGCGACCAGACCATAACAATTGTGACATCAACTTTATGTCCAAAGTGGGTAGCCGCATTCCCATAATATCGGTGTCAGAGCTTAACTGAAAAAAAACCATGAGTGCAGTTCACTAGTGCCAAAAGCGAAACCTACAGAAGTATTCTATCTCATTCTCTTGCACACGTTGCTATCTCTTTTTAGTGTCGCTTATGAACCGAATTTCAAATCACGATGGTTTACATTAAAAAATCTTGTTTACAGAGAAAGATCCATACCCCGTCGAGACTCTCCCTACGTGTACTTATGCCCTGAGTGTCTGCCACAACGAAAAAGCTTGCTCCGTGCTCTTTGACAGGTTCAAAAACGCTTGCAAAGCACGTGACGGAGAATGTCGTATGGATGACAGGTAGTCTATGCTAATGTTTTTTTTGTTAATCGATGAAGCTAGTTTAGATGAAGTCGTACACAGATAGAAGAAAAGCAATGGTGTACTTAACACATTCACAGCGGGCATTCCGTTTTAATAAGACATCTTAGATATACATACATATCGACGCTTGAAAGGCAAACGTGACTAAGCGACAATAACTGCTTTATACATAAGGCAATAATCATATTCCATTAGGGTCAGTGTTAGCAAATCTCCGGTTTGAGCCCCGCGAGCTCACCTACAAACGTTAGGGCGAAGCTGAAATAGCGTCTCAAGGCTAGCATAGGTAGGAAAAAAAAAAGAAAACATATTCCATATGCAAAAAATATATATTTCTAGGTCTATTAAAATCATTTCAATCCTACAGCTATATTCGTTAAAATAGAATTTTTTTCAGGTATTTCAACATTAAATTAGTCTACTGTAAAGTTCACGCATTGTCGCTTAGTCACGTTTGCCTTTCAAGCGTCGATATGCTCACCTCTTTCCCACACTAAATGAAAACGAAGTTACATAGCCGTTTTATAAACACAATTGAGACTTCAAATTCATGTCTTGGCACACTTGCAAGCATATTGGTAATTAATACGGCGCATCTACAAAAAAAAAAAAAAAACTATGTTTATTACAGGGAGGCTTGTCGTGAAGCCTGGGCTGGGTTACGTCTCTCGCCACTGTTTGGTTGCATCTGCCCCAATACGCACATGAAGAAACGATGCGATCGCATCTTTGCTGTCGTCAACCACAATCCCTGCGTCGGTGAGTACTTTGAGCCTTTATAACACGCACGCTGGGTGTGGCTCGCTGGTTCTGAGGGAAATTCATATCAGGGACTAGAGTTAATTGATCGCCCTAACTGTTTCAATCATAGCGATATAGTGTACTGATTAGAAAAGTATGTGTTGGTGTTTTAAATAAGCGGGTCCACGGATCTGCGAGGATTTTTTGCTATCGAAGGATAACAGGTGGACCCAAGGCGTTTTAGCTTCGCCACAACAAGATGGCGAGTACGAGCTCAGCCAGGATTGGAGTTTACGATGGGTTCAGTTCACTCTGCGTTGGATACCGCATGTTCTATGGAGAGTTCTCTAGGAAATTGAGATGACTCATCATCTTAATATTATCATGCACTACAACAGAGTTCCAACCTGTTACTTAGAAACACGTTTGCGGTAGGCAGGGGCTTGGCTCTGCCCCTGGCATTGCTGAAGTCTATGGGCGACGGTAACCACTCACCATCAGGTGGGCCGTATGCTCGTCTGTCTACAAAGGCAATAAAAAAAAAACACAGCGTTCGTCTATTATACTTTAGAAGATCATATTTACCACACACCATGGGGCTCTGAAACAAAATTAGCTCAACGGCGTTTTTTGATCACTGTTACTTGACGACTCATTCATGATCCTGGCACTACTTACGTTTATGAGCGACTGTGATCACCTACTAATATGCGTTGGTGTGCTTTCGATGACGATAAAATGTTTACATAAAAACTCAGACACATGTTCATCATTTTAATTGGGTTATGACGTATTATACATACAATTATTCCAGTTCTTTTATTTTATATTATAGCATAGATGGGTGGACGAGCTCACAGCCCTCCTGGTGTAAGGTGGTTGCTGGAGCCCATAGATATCTATGACGTAAATGCGCCACCCACCTTGAGTTATAAGTTCTAGTATAGTTACAACGGCTGCCCCACCCTTCAAACCGAAACGCATTACTGTTTCACGGCAGAAATATGCAGGGTGGTGGTACCTACCTGTGCGAACTCACAAGGAGTCCTACCACCAGATCCTCGACTATATTTCACCAGTTTCTAAAAAAAAAATTCAGTCTTCTACGTAAATGTTAAATCCGGTTATACCATACCACCTTGTCATGTTTATATTCTAGTATCGAAACGTTAAAGTTAAAAACAATATATCAGTTTCAAATCATTGAAGTGAATTAAGAGCGCATTGATGATGACATTCCTTTTTCTTTCTCTCCTGTATTTTTTGATATTAATTGTGTTTTAGTGTGCAATAAAGTATATTCTCTCTCTCTGTATCCATGTCTATTACGCATTATTTACTTATCTATCCACGTATCTATAGTGCGCATCAAATAATGAAAAGAGGCCGTGCTTCTTATTATATCTTTAACAAAAGAAAAAATCCTCATTATTTATCGTTCAACATATTTATCGAAATCTCAAACATAATCTTATTAATAAACATTCTATGGAATAAACCCCTACGCAATCCTTTAAATAAATATGTCTAACGACTATACTCTGTATAAGCACTCCCCAAGAGTACTTATATACGCCCTACGAGTTCTCGTGGAACTAATATAATGAACTTATCGACTATTGCTTGACTGGACTCGTGAACAGTACACGGAGTCATAGAAAATGGAACAGACAATATTTCCTATTCTATTATCAGTTGTATGTTTCGATAAGGTTGTCATAAAGGTCTTATAACATAATCCATTCATTTTGTACTTTTCTATTCGAAATATCGAAAAAAATTAATCAAGGAAAAAGTAAAACGTCGCTATTTGTAAATTGACTTTTTTTATTATTTTTTTATTGCCTGGATGTGTGAACGTGCTCACAGTCCACCTGGTGTTAAGTGGTTACTAGAACCCATAGACATCTACAGCGTAAATGCGCCACACACCTTGAGATATAAGTTCTAAGGTCTCAGTATAGTTACAACGGCTGCTCCACCTTTCAAACCGAAACGCATTACTGCTTCACGGCAGAAATAGGCGGGGCGGTGGTACCCACCCGTGCGGACTAAAAACTATTAAGCCTAATACGGATAAATGTTCATACACTGAAACATAAGACAACATACAAATACCACAACAAAACATTTAATAGAATGTTCAACGTTTTTCCCTAATTCCCTGTTTCAATATAACGGAACGTTTGATTCATTTCTTATAATCTCGGCTGAGTTCTTATTCCGAAATCTCGGTATCCCGGAGGGCCGGGGTCCTAATCCCGTGGTAATCCCGGGCTCATCCGTAGACGGGGCGCGTCAACTTTCAATCTGAGCGGAGCCCTTTAATACTATAAATTGATCGCGACTTCCCTTGTGTATATATACCATTCCATTACTGTTTAAGTGACAAGTTTTGTTTACGTTCGATCGGCTTTTCTAAATTTTACAAAGTACTTACTTAAAGCAATGACATTATTTAAGTTGATAGTAAGTAAAAAATTTAAGAACATTGTTTTTAAAGCTACCGAATCGATCCCTAATCTTATGTTTAGATCATGAAATAATCAGCGATATGTTAGTTACATAACAAATTAAGGTTTGAGGGAAAATGCTGCATTTGAAATTAGTATTTTTTTTGTACAGTGCAACGTATGCAACGTACTAAGGCTAGCTTTTGTTTTATTTTCCTTCAGCGACCCACCGGCAAGGTGAGAAATAATTGTCTTTGCAAATCAATAGACAATGACTTTATCGTCTCTAATCTAGGATTAACCCTTGTTTCTTGAGTGCCGGTAAAACTAAGACATTGATTCTGAACTGGTAGCGAAATCTGACACACCCATGAACTATGAACCTATGAACTTAATTACAATGTTATTACTTTAAGCGTATTGTTCTTTTTTTTTTATATTGCTTAGATGGGTGGACGAGCTCACAGCCCACCTGGTGTTAAGTGGTTACTGGAGCCCATAGACATCCACAACGTTAATGCGCCACCCACCTTGAGAATAAGGTCTCAAGTATAGTTACAACGGCTGCCCCACCCTTCAAACCGAAACGCATTACTGCTTCACGGCAGAAATAGGCAGAGTGGTGGTACCCACCCGCGCGGACTCACAAGAGGTCCTGCCACCAGTAATTACGCAAATTATAATTTTGCGGGTTTCATTTTTATTACACGATGCTATTCCTTCACCGTGGAAGTCAATCGTGAACATTTGTTGAGTACGTATTTCATTAGAAAAATTGTTGGTATTTTAAGGGAAGTTCCTAGCATAGGCGCCACGATAGTCACAATAAATTATGATTTGAATACATAAAAAGATCATATAATTTATTCGTTGAGCGCTCCTCGATTTTACACAGCAAAAAAATATTCTAAGATAAGTCGACTATTTAGCCGGATCATGGGCAATATTACGCGAAACGAACATCAGAATACGAATGAGTAATCTCATTAGTCTCGGGGCGGACTGATTTCTGAGAAAAACGTAATGTTTCAAGCGAAAACTTTGCAAGTTGTCAACTCATAGCGTTTCTGATTTGCTGTGTTTTGTTTTTGTTTCCGAATTTTTCTTTTATTTTACGCAATGGCATCTTCTAGATTGTTTTTTTTTTGTTGCTTAGATGGGTGGACGAGCTCACAGCCCACCTGGTGTGAAATGTTGGTTACTGGAGCCCATGGACATCTACAACGTAAATGCGCCACCCACCTTGAGATATAAGTTCTAAGATCTCAGTATAGTTACAACGGCTGCCCCACCCTTCAAACCGAAACGCATTACTGCTTCACGGCAGAAATAGGCAAGGGCGGTGGTACCTACCCGCGCGGACTTACAAGAGGTCCTACCACCAGTAATTACGCAAATTATAATTTTGCGGGTTTCACTTTTATTACACGATGTTATTCCTTCACCGTGGAAGTCAATCGTGAGCATTTGTTGAGTGCGTAATTCATTATAAAAATTGATTATTGATTAGATTCATGATATTTGTAAATCTCGTTTTTATTTTGATACGTTTCAGTTAAATCAGCAGTCAGTGACATGTATATGTATTGTTTTATTAAAAAATATAATAAATCAAATTAAGTTTGTTAATTAATCGATTAATAATTGAGCTAACTCAGTGATGATGTGATTGTATACGATATAAACTACACGCATACATATAATACACAAATATTCGAGGACCCTAAGGATTTTCTTTACCGAAAATAATTTTCTTTACTATCTTCATCACAACGCTAACCATGCCATAATGCCGCTACCATCAGAGATCAATTCGCAGACTCAATTAATTGTATTGCATAAGGTCGGTCCCTTTAAACTGAAACGCATGAGACAGCAGAAGTAGGTAGAGGAGGTAGGTAGAGTAATACCTAATCGTACCTACGTTAACTTAGCGTTCTTACCACAACCATCTACAATACCAGTTTCCACTAGTAAATGCCATTGACGTTCGCAGTGCGCTGGTATAATTCGAGAATACTGAACCTCCGGTGAATCGCTTGGTGTTATTCTACTTTGACACCAGACAGCCATAGTTGACAGAAATCGTCAGACTGGAGTTGCAGTAGACTCGCTAACCGATCGACCAGAAGCACATGTAACTAATCGTAACAAATCTTTTCCGTCCAATGAATGTCCAATGTTGATGTTTGAGTAAAGATCTACTTCATATTTCTCATTTGGTAAAAAAAAACCATTTATAAAAGAACTACTGTTTCTTAAAAGAACAATTTGCGTTTTTAGCTAAGCCTCATGATCGAAAATCATGATACGAAGGGCTAATCAATCTGATACTATGTTTTGTGTCTGATGGCGTGATATGGACATGTGATGCGTAGAGAGAAGATGCATGTGACTAGGAGATGTATGGAAATAGTAGTGCAAGGTAGAGGGAGAAGAGGCCGACCGAAGAAGACATGGATGGAGTATGTGAATGACGATATGAGAGAGAAAGAGGGGAGTGAGTGTTGATATGACGGCTAATAGAAGAGAATGGAAGAGAAAATTAGCTATGCCGACCCCACC